CATACATATACATACATACATATACATATACACACACACACACACACACAGAGGGGAATTATATGAAAATGGATGAATATGTAGATGCATATGTAGATCACACTTCTTGTTGTACCTGTTCAAAAAAAATCTGAACAGGTACAACATAGGAAACAATAAATGAAAAATTTAATTCTACCAGTCAAAAATACAAACCACATTTGCTTTTGAATCTATAGCACAATAGTGTGCAAAAATATTTTTTCTTCATTTAAATTTCTATTAAATGTTATCTAATTATTGATTAGATTGAAATGGATGGAAGGATATTTACTGCGAATGGTTTTGTTGTTTTGCAGTGCATCGTTTACTCTTAATAAGTCTTAATGTCTTAAAAAATTCTAGTCATCTATTTTATATTAGTAAAATGTAATTTTTAATAAGTCTAGGTCGAAATATTTTAGCATGAAAGCTATCAAGACAGTTTAAAGCTTTACAAGTCAAAGTTTTTGTGAAGAAACTGCCACCTCTTGGTAACACAGCAAATGAATAAAAGAGGTGTTCCTATTGAGAAGCAGAAACATCACAGGAGAAGAAGAGATTCCTAGCAATTGATAACTGGATAGGAACTGACTGAGAGTTTTCTGTCAGTCAGCTGGGAACGGCAATTGAAATTGGCTGCATCTGTATTTCAGTTTTCAAACGAAGTCCAGTTTGGTTGCTCAATTATACTATGAAAATTCTTACCTCGGCAAGCTGGAAGAGAGCAGACTGTCTGCATAACTTTCCTTCAGGTGCTGCAGACAGCGATGACTGTGAACACACAGTAACAAGTGTGATCACACAGTTCAGCTTTCTGCTGATACCATTATTATTCAGCAACAACAACTATGAATAACAAATACAACTGTGTTGACAGTAAACCTAGAGCATTCGAAATAACAAGCATTGCCGGTGAGAATGCCAGTTATCACCAGTTTGGTTTACTCTTCTTTGCAGAATTGTTTTAACGTCCTAGGGCCTGGCACCCACATATGGGCACATCACATTTGGGTTGTCTTTGCTCTTTCAAATGAGCCATATTGCTCAAAGGGGCACAATTGTTGTTTCTCATTTTATTTTTATACTCAGGAAAAATTTAGCTGTGTTCAGACACCAAATAAAGAGTTTTGCACATCATTATTCAGTTGTGACTTTATAGTGTTCTATCAACAGTATAAAGCCCAAATAGCAAAGAGAAATTAAAAAGGCATGCCATGAAAGAGTTTGGGTCTTTGGAGGTTAAATCAGCTACATTGAAGGGTTTTCAAGCATAAACATGAGACCAAAGCATGTAATCTGTGTCCAGACTTTGAGTCTAGGGCAATAAAAAAAACGTACATTTGTTTTTTTGGAATTAATCACAAGTAATTAATTATGTAAATACTGGGGGAAATTTCTCAAAAAGCCAAATGCGTTTGATGAATTGACATGTGCCAACACTGTTAGAACTCCTGCCATGACACAAGAAGCACAGAAAAAGTGCTACATGTTTTCATTTTTTTCACATTATCGTAACCTCTGGAAAAATGATGACCTAAAATTTTTCAGTCGTGTGATTAATCAGTGGTATTGCTGGCTGGTTTTGAGTTCTAGGCCATGCAGAGCACTTTCTTGTGTTTTGGAGTAACTCCTCCCACATCTAATGACTTAGTTATGATGATAGGTACCTCTTTCATGAACTAAAATTTCAGCCTACCTCAGCCACTGGTGAAAGGGCTGACTGGACCCTGTTTTCAGAAATGTCAGGCACTCTGTTTGGTATTGTCCCAGAAAACATCTGTGCACCAAATAAAGAGGGTAAAAAACACATAAAACTAAATAACACATCAGCATTAAATGACTTTTCGAAAATTCAAACCCGAGACAGTTGTCGTTTTAATCAGATAAATTTAAAACTAATTAATGACGCAATTATATGTGAGCAACACTAATATGCCAGTACCCCAGTTGGTAAAGTAAGTTTTATTTTTTGACTAATGTATAAACTGCTATGCAACTTAATCTATATTAGTATGTACATTACTATTTGTTGACTTCCTTTTCTATTAATAATATAAATCAGCAAAGCAAATAATATTAACTAGATATTTAAATTAAATTCAGTAAATGGTTTCCTTCACTGACAGGGTCAGGTGCTTTCAAATACACACACACACACACAAACGCAGCATGGACACCTAGGTTGTCAATACAACAAGGAATGGTATGATTTTCAATCGGATATACATGGTACATGGTATCAATTTGAAAGTCATACCATTCCTCGTACTCGACTTGTTGTATTGACATCCCAGGTGTCAATGTTGGGTGACAACAACACCTCATCAGCCTTTTAGGGCTTTGGGGTAATGAAAAAATTATTAGTATTGAAGGCCATCTACTGGGGAACTTGTGCATTATCACAGTGCACCTAAAATTATACTGCTTCACATTTCAAGTGAGAAATCTCAGCTTCCATTTCGGAGTGCAAAGCCCCCTCAATTCAGATTTGACTTAAAGAAAAGGAAGAAAGGAAGAAAAGCCCCCATCATCACTCACTTCACATGATCAGTCGTAAAACTGAAACGTTTTTAAATCTGTATGACTACTGTTGTGTATTTGTGACAACCCTATTCATGAAAATGCTGAAGCAGTGTTTTTGGGCTGGCTTTGGGCTTTATTGCTAATGATAAATGACTGTCTCTGCCTTGCTTAAAGCAAAAATATCCTCTTTTATTGCTTTTCCTAATGGAACACATTTAACTTGGAAGTGACATCACTGCCAGCTATGACATTTGACTTTTGGTAAATGGAGCACAGCATTAAGGCAATAATTTGTTAGAGAAAGACATTATTTGTTGTTTTGCTGTACACCACACAGTGAAATTTAAACCAAACAATGAAAATGTGATGAAGTGCAGATTTCCAGTTCTAATTCAGTTTTAAACTTTTAAAAAAGTTTGCATTAACCGTTTATGAATTCTAGTCATTTTTTAATAGTCCCACATTCTCAGAAGCTTGGAAATAATTGGACAACTGTCTGGCAAGCAGTTTCATAGCCAAGTGAGGGCTGTTCCCTTGTTATTTTATGACAAATGAAGCAGATATAATATTTGAAGCTTAATTAATCTGCTAAATTTATATTCTAGAGCTTTTTACCCTACTTTTAAATATGAACCGCAAATATATGTCAGTGCAAGTGAAGGAGGCCATCACTAGCTTGAAAAAGCAAAATAGACAGTGAAAAAGAGAGAGTGAAAAAACTTAAAGAGTATCCAAAATGAACAATCTGGTACATACTTAAAAAGAATGAATGCACTGTCAGCAACACAACACGGTCTGAAAGACTACGGAAATCAAAGTGGATGATTGCAGAATTCTTTCCTTGGTTAAAAAAAACAGAAACAAAAGCAAAACAAAAAACCCCAAAAAGCTTCATAACATCTAGCCAAATCAAGAACATTTAATGAGTGATCATTGTCAAAATCTACAACCAAGAGACGCCGTGATGAATATAAATACAGTGGGGCAAACCACTGGTTATTGCCAAGAACAGGAAGGCTACAGAGAAAGAGAACCAGCTCATGATCCAAACCACAACATACCAAATCATTTGTCAAATATGGTGGTGGGAATAGTTATGGTACGTGCATGTATGGCTGTAAAACATGGGTGCGGGGGACTCCAGGCCATAAGGGCTGGTGTCCTGCAGGTTTTAGACGTGTCCTTGATCCAACACAGTTGATTTAAATGGCTAAATTACCTCCTCAACATGTCTTGAAGTTCTCCAGAGGCCTGGTAATGAACTAATCGTTTGATTCAGGCATGTTGATCCAGGGTGACATCTAAAACCTACAGGACTTGAGGCCTGGAGCTCCCCACCCCTGCTGTAAAATCACGTCACTAGTACTTCTTGATTATGTGATTGTTGAAAGAAGAAGCAGGATGAATTCCTAAGGGCAACTCTCTGCTGTCTTCCAAAAACGGATCGGACAGTACTTTACAAAGCAAATGAATAATGACCCAAAGCATACTACAAAAGTAACCCAAGGGTTTCTTAAGGAAAAAAATTGAATATTTTTCAATCTCCAAGTCAGTCAAGTAATTAGATTAGAGCATGTTTTTCCACGTGCTGAAGGCAGAAAGAACCACAAGCAAGCAGGAAATGTAGGCAACTGTAGTAAAGGCCTGGAAGGGCATCTCAAGGTTTGAAGTACAGCATTTGGTGATATCCATGGATTCTGGGCTTCATTGACTACAAAGGATTAAAAACAATCCTTATATTTAAAATTATGCTAGTTTGCCCAAGTAATTTCAAGTCTCTGAAAATGGGGGACTAATTATAAACTGGCTGTTTTCTGAAGAGTTGAGGCAAAACACTCGCACAATTTCTTGAATTGAAAAATGTTGTCTGCACTTACATTGATTGTTTGATTTAAAATCCACTGTGGTGGTGGACAGAGGCAAAACTGCAAAAAGTATGTCGCTGTCCAACAAGTTATGGACCTAACAGTATCTGTGGCTTATCGAGTGACCTACCTCTCTGTTTGTGAGGGCATGTTCCCCAGCTAGCAGCAACATGCTCAGGCCCCCCATCTTTGTAGGATCTAGTGAGGAATAGCATTAATTTACAAAACAGGCCAATATTTTATTATGTTACACTATAATAAATAATGTTTAATAATACACACCTGCCATGGCAAAGTTCAACTGTGGCATACTTTCCGTTTTGGGCACTTTTTTGGCAGTGGAGTCCTTGGATGAGTTGCAAGAAAAGGACCAAACTTTTTTGCGGGGATTGCTGACTGGCTGACAGGAAGTGCTCTTAACTGGTTTGCTGGTGGTGGGACACCACTTATAGCCTGGGTTTGCCTTCATAAAGGCATCCTTGTACTGGAAGAACATACAGAATGAATTTGGTTATAAGCAAACCCTATAAGCAATTTAATTTTTATTTAATTGATCATTTCATTTTTATACTTTAACAAAGTATTTCTATTTCACATTATAAACTGACAAGTAAAAAGGATGGGTAAAAAAAACACCTTTATTTTTTACAAGCACTTCTTTAAGTACTACTGGCCTAGGATAGAGTACCACAGGAATGAGTCTTAAAATTCAGAAATTAGTTTTCATTATTGTACTTTTAAATCAGAGGAAATTGCATTAAAGTTTTAGAATTCATTCAGAAGTGGCACCACTTTGTATAGTTGACCCTGCTGAACAAAACATGGAAATATCATGAACTTCAGAGTCATAAAGTAGCCTCACCTCCTTGGCCATGTCAGTGTATTTCTGTTTCTCTTTGGGTTCCAGGACAGCCCACCAGTCAGCCAGGATTTTGGTGGCCCCGCGATTGTCCAAGCGAGGGTGTTCTTGCCGCACCAGGGAGCGGTGGCGTTTGCAAAAGAGCAGAAAGGCATTCATTGGCCGGCGTGCCCGCTGTTCGTTTGTGTCCTCCTCCACTTCCTCTGTTGTGACTTCACACTGTGAATGCTGTGTCTGGTTGCACAGCCCTGCCTGCTAATAAAAATTTAATAAATTCTTTTGATTTAATGTTACACCATAGTTTCTGTCTGATTTATTTGTCATAGTCTGAAATATTAGTTATTCAGTTGGGCAGAAGGTATTACAGGAACAACCTGTAGTCGAAACCCACTAACCTTCACCAGCTCCTCTTCATCTTCTTCCTCCTCCTCCTCAGAGAAATCAAGAGCCTTTTTGGAGAGAAGCGGGTGCCACTGCAGGCATTTGCGCTTGGGGCGTTTGCCAGTGACCTCCCCTGCAACAGGTGGCTCCTTGCTCCTTCCTCCACCCTTCATCGTACTACTGCACCTAAAGCAAAAGAAAAGAAAAAACACATCAGAATGGGCACTATAAGTTTGTACAAAACACACAGTGAAAGCATCAAGCATGGAATCTGTGATAATTGCTGACAAAATAGATTTTACTGGAGTGTTATAGTAATAAGATACTGTGAACAAATAGGTCAAAGGTTTACTTAAAGTTGGTGTGCCCAGGCATGCAGTGCCAAGAAATAGTATTTGCGCCCTTTCTTATTTCTTTGTTTTTTGGCTATGCTTCACACTGCTGCATCCAATGCTTTGCGCTGTGCTTGGGGATGTTAAGCTGCTAAGCCATAGAAAATCATTTCATGAAGATCTCTATGCACTGTTCTTGAGCTGAAGGTCATATGAAATTTGGAGGTCTGTAGTGAATGACTATGCAGAATGTTGTCAACCGGGGCGATCGTGGCTCAAGAGTTGGGCGTTCGCCTTGTAATCGGAAGGTTGCCGGTTCGAGCCCCGGCTTGGACAGTCAGTCCTTGTGTCCTTGGGCAAGACACTTCACCCGTTGTCTACTGGTGGTGGTCAGAGGGCCCGGTGGCGCCAGTGTCCGGCAGCCTCGCCTCTGTCAGTGCGCCCCAGGGTGGCTGTGGCTACAATGTAGCTTGCCATCACCAATGTGTGAATGTGTGTGTGAATGGGTGGATGACTGGTTGTGTAAAGCACTTTGGGGTCTTTAGGGACTAGTAAAAGCGCTATACAAATACAGGCCATTTACCTATGTGTATGTGCCTCAGCCAGTGTTGGGTACTGTAATTAAATTACTTTTCCACTGAAAAAGCAGAACAACTGATTATTGTTCATTTTTTAATTACAGTTACTTACAATGTACTTGTGTTAAATTGTAAAATAATTGAACTCGCTGAATATCATTATTTAATTTCATTATTTTATCTTCTAAAAGGTAAAAGTAAACTCTGCCGCTATAACATTGATGTAGTGCAGGTGCACGTCATTTCACACCAGTTTACTGCATAATTGTATCCTGAAGTGGAAGATGTCAGACTTGGCTGAAGCGAGTGGCTGTTTTATAAAATGGAAATATTCCTGTCACTTCACTTTTCTGAAACAAGCAGACAAGAACATTAAAGTAATATGTAAGCTATGTCCTGGGGAGAAAAAACTATCGGCCGCTGTCAATAGCACGAGTAATCTACTGAAGCACCTGACACGGCAGCACAGACAACCCTTCTGAGTGATCCTTGTTCATCCTCCACTGATCATCATCCATTGATTTTACTTCAGCAGCACAGAAAGTGTCTGAAGGTGAGCTTAAAAAATGATTGCAGGCTACATCGTGGAAGAGATGCTACTGCTGCGTACTGTAGAGTCTCCGTCTTTTAGGTGCATATTAAACAAAATACCTGTGTGTGGCAAAAAAGCAGCACCGCCCGTTCAAAAAACGTTTTCTACTTACTTAGATAAGTGTTATGCTGACGTGGAAATGGAGCTTAAAGGGACATTTGAGAGTTTGGAATATATTTCCACGACTGCTGACATTTGGACCAGTCATAACAAAAGTTTTCTCGGAATGACGGCATATTGGATTGATCCTTTTACTTTTGTACGAGGACATGCAGCGCTAGCATGTAAAAGAGTTAGAGGTAGACACACATATGATGATGAGCAAGTACATTCGGCTTATGGACTGAACTCTAAAGTGACAGCCACCGTGACAGACAACGGGTCCAATTTTATCAAAGCTTTTAGAATGCTCCAAAAATCAGACTGATGAGGAATCCGAAGAAGATGAAGAGGTGACATTTACTGATGTTGAGCAGTCCTTCTCCACAGAATCTGAAGGACAGTTTTCTCTCCCTCCACACTTAAGGTGCACTTAATCACACACACTGAACTTAATTTTTCATGATGTTGAGAAATGGCTTCAAGCAAATGAGGCAAAATTCATCTACAGAAGTGCAACTTCAAAGTGTTCTGCAATGTGGACAAAACCAAACCATTCTTCTGTTGCTTCAAAGTTAGTAGATATTTTTTTCAAGAAAAAACTCATAGTGCCTGTTTCAACACAATGGAATTCATTTCACGACGCCCTGTCCAGGATCACTGACATTCCCCTTGCTGACTTAAATACTGTCTGTACTCAGTTTGGAATCAAATGCTTCACTGATCGGGAGTATCTGTTCCTAAAGGAGTATTGTATTGTGTTGAAGCCACTCACTGTTGCGCTAGACACATTGCAAGGAGAAGAGAACTGCTATTTTGGAATCCTTCTTCCAACTCTGGAGGTCGGTGGTTCGATCCCAGGCTGCTCCAGTCTGCATGCCAAATATCCTTGGGCAAGATACTAACCCCATGTTGCTCTCCGATGCATCCATCGGAGTGTGAATGTGTATCAATGTAAGATACTTAGCACTTAAGCTTAGAATTGCTTGTGTGAATGGGTGTGATTGGGTGAATGAATTAGCTGTATAAAGCGCTTTGAGTGCTCGGACAGAGTGGAAAAGTGCTATATAAGAACCAGTCCATTTACCATTTACCATAAACTGGAGCTACTCGCCCAGTTTAAGGTGTCCCTGTCCCAAGCCAAATTACCACTAGTCCCCGCTGTTGCCTTCATCCTACACATCTTTTAACTCCTTTTTTAGCCCTTGGCTTTTTTAAGCTTCTTGTGTTCCTTAGCTAACTGGCACAGATGTTCCTGTATACTATGCCACCTAATTGGTTATGGCATTCCATGTATGCCCTCTCTGCTAGCATCTTGAACCCTACTGGTATCTGAGGTCTGGTGTACCAACATCTATGTATCTTGTACTTAGAAGCTGTTCCAGTGCTGCCACTATTACTGCCTCTGTGTTGTCTTTCAGTCTATTTAGTGGTTGTGGCTAGCAGCCTCTTCATAACGTCCATTTGCCTGTGGGACTACAAGGTACTTGTAGCTGACTTGAATTTCTATAATCTTCCCTTTCTGCTCCCCCCTCAGTTCTGACTACTTTTCCTCTCTTTGTTACCATCCAACTAAACTTCTCCATTTCGAATGGTATTCCAATGTCAGTGTCATTGCTGTAGATCTTAATGATATGAAACACTGAAACAATGTCTCAGTCACTCTTGGTATACAGCTTTGATATTCCAGTGTCGTTGCTGTAGATCCTGGTGGTTTGGATCAGTGTATCGATGTTTCATTCACTCTTGGCTTGATGTCATCCATGTAAAGAAGGTGCCTGATAATTGCTCCATTCCATAGTTGGTACCCGTAACCAGTCTTGTCAATGACCTAACTAAGGAAGGTTCAGGCCTAACCTTTGCTGCTCCTGTTTTTCCATCAGTCTCTCCAGTACTTGAGGCTGATCCACTATCCCATAATGTTGTCTTCTTCTGTAATTTTATTTTTATGAATGATAATGGTAAGCGCTAAGCTTCCTGACAAACACATTACCTTTCTTGCAAGTAATAAAAGTAATAATAAAACTATATGTTTGTATCAGTGAGATGAGTCACACATGACTGAGCTCATCTAGTCTTGTTTCCTTCATCTAAGAAATACTGTAAATCAAACCTTTACTGTTATCCAAGTATTTAGACGCCAAGAGCAGGAATGACGGCTGAACACTGAGAGTCCAATGATAAAGGGGACTGATAGTTAGTTTAGCACTGTGATATGTCCAGCATGTTACATATATTAGTAAAGATTTCTGTATTATGAATCTGGGTCTTCATAGGGTCATAATAGAGACCCCACAGCACATTTCTTTTTCTTGTTGTTCAATTAAAATTAAGGGTTTGCTGTATGGCTGATGTTCTGGACAGCTGTGATATTTATTTAATGTTCACATATTTAGGTTCCTGGAGTGGACTGTTTATACTGGGGTCTACTGCCTAAAGAAGAATCAAACAGTCGTAGCATGGGTAGTGGCAGGATAGACGTTTTTTCATTTAGTGTAAATGGTCTGTTGAACCAGATAAAAAGTAGTAAAATTTTAAGAAAAATGAGGAAAGAAAAAGCACATATAGTTTACCTACAAGAGACCCACCTAAACTATAAGGAACAAGAGAAATAAAAAAGAATGGATTTTACAAATGTATTTTCATTTGTAAACCTTCTAGTTTTGGTGCAGTACCACGTGATATAATATAGGGTCTCTATAATAAAATTATTTATTATAGAGACCCTAATAAATAATTTTATTAGGGTCTCTATTAACTTTTCCCATATTTAATATGACCTATAACCTGTACATTTCAACTGGAAAAAACAAACACATCTTTTAGGGAAAAAATATAAAATGAAAAACATACAATGAGCTGGTTGCAAAAGTGTGCGTATCCTTAAAACAACACTTTGTTGAAGCACCTTTTGATTTAACCACAGCAATCAGTCTTCTTGCGTACACACATGCCATCAACTAAAGACAGCCTGATTCCCCACAAATAAAGTTCAGCTGTTCTAGTAAGATTTTTCTGACATTTACTCAGTTGTTTGATACAGGAAAAGGCCATGGTTCACGGGGAATTCACAAAGCATCAAAGAGATCTTGAAGGTATCAGTAACGTGAACGATACAGAAAAATAGAGCTGTTCGATATAACGATATATATTGGATGGCAATATAAAAACGTCTATCGTTTCATTTTACACGATCGTTTGTTTCATGGTGTCGCAAAATAAACTGTTTACGGCAATATTTTTTCATCGTTTTGATGGTCACTGTAGTGGCTATATTAATTTCTTAAAGTTCTCTCTTTCTCTTATATTTAATATAACCACACTACGGACGGACAAGGGCCTGTTTTTATGCGTTTTGGTTAGCAACAATGACGGTAACACCATTGCGTGTCTGCTTGTTTATGTTCCACATAAACTTTTCACAATAAAGCTTAAGATCCTGTTGAGACTTTTCAAAATAAACTGAATCACGTGATAGAGCAGATTATTTACGGATGAGAAGCAAAAAAAGAGCCACCAGGTGCTAAAAAAATAAACGTTAGACTCAAACGTTAGAACAGGCTTTTCCCCGCAGCACGCCGTGTAATAAATACTCACAAAGAAAACGGCGGCCATTACAACTTATGTCTAAAAATGTATAGTTTCATGCATCTGTTAAAACACTCGACTCCAGCTACATGACGCACAGCTGGAAACACTTCCCGCAAGTCGAGCCGCCCGAGATTCACAGAATTTACAGAAAATGTTACATTTTTGTGATTTATATCATTATAGGGACAATAGAATTCTTATATCGGGATATGAGATTTTGGTCATATCGCACAGCCCTACAGAAAAATGTTCATGGTGCCAGTTTAGCTCAGTGGGTGAGCAGACATCCAGGTGGCACCTGGCCAGAAAGTAGTGGCCTGAGACCAACCTGCACCCCTTTGTTGCATGTCTTCCCTGCTTTCCTGTCTTTCTACACCGTCTCTATCCAAAAAAGGCTAAAATGCCAAAAGAAAATCCACAACATTGCATATATCATGGAACACAGTGAAGACAGTCAAAGTTAAAAGTGGAAAAAATATGGAAAAACAGTAATATTGCAAAGAACTGGATGTCCCCAAAACTGATGAAACAACAAGACGAAAACTCATCATAGAGGCTGCTAAAAGAACTACAACAACACTGAAGGAGTTGCAGCTACAGAACTGGGAAGTGCTAGTTGTGCACTACATGTGACAGAAATTTCCTGTATTCTCCATATGTCTGGACTATGGGGTAGGTTTGCAAGATGGTAGCCTTTTCTAAAAAAACAAACAAACAAACAAACCATCTAAGCCGGGCTACAATTTGCAAAAAAATACTCAAAGTCTCCCAAAAGCATATAGTAAAATGTGTAATAGTATGATAAGACCATGGTTGAACTGGTTGTACGCTTGGCTCTGACAATGCTATCCATAACCAAAAGACCACCATACACATGGTGGCAGGGTCATGATTTGGGGTTGCTTTTCTTCAGTTGGAAATGCAGCTTTAGTCAATTATGTACAGTTACAAACACCAGTCGCATTTGGATCCAAAGTTTTTGATGTCTGCCATGAAGATGACAATGAAGAAGACTTTCAACTTTAAAGACAACAAAACTCAAGGATCCCACAAATGCAAAAACAATAAAAGAATGATTTCACCAGAAAAAAGTAAAGTTTTGAAATGGTCCACCAGTACCCAGAGTCTGTGGGGCAACCTAAAGACATAAGAGATGACCTCACAATCCCAAAGATTTGGAGCATATTTGCAAAGAAGAGTGGGCAAATTTTTTCGAACTCGAGATTTGCCATGCTGATAGACTCTTACCAATAAGACTGAATGATGTGAATACAACGTATCAGTTTAAGGGTGTGCAAAGTTATGTAACCATTTTTAAACAATAAAAAAAAAAACATTTAAACAGATTTGTTTTTCAATTCAACTGAGCAGGTTATAGGTTACATTTAAACAGGAATGTGTACATTTTTTACATGTACTGTACCTCCTTGGGACCAATTTCTCTTAAAAAATTAAAAATGACAGTCTAATTATTTTTTTCATGTAACAATTTCAATGTCACCTTCTTATTCTAGTGCACTGCTGGTATTTGTAAATAAATATAATGACATCATAATCTCTGGTACAAATTCTAATTCTGAAGTTCTATTTCATTCAAGGGGAGGTGCACTCTTAGTTGTAGACTATTATGAAGAGCTATTATCGTTTTAATAAAATGGCACCCCTGTGTTCAGCTGTAGTTCTCTTCCTACATTTTAATGTTTTACACACAAACCAGGCAAATTACTGAACATTATAAATGTATCCTCTCTGTTTATTTTCACTTGCTGATGTTTAATTTTTCCACATGTTTGCACTTCTGGATGTGTATCAAACATAGGGAAAATTAAATTACCATTCAATGAATGAATGATATAATGACTGTGAACCACAGTTAGACTAGATGCCAGCAGTTGCTTTTATGAATGTTGTGTGGAAAACAGGAATACTTACTGAAGAAAATTATAGAAATGCTGTATGAGTGATGAAGATGAATCTGTCACAGCCTTTGTCATGCAATGACGATGACCTATAAAACACAAGACACCGCTCTCAGTGATCTTTTACACTTCCATCTCTGCAATGATTCCGCAACACCATGAGCTTGATTGAGTGAAAAAATGTATGCAAAACAACTTTAACAGCGCATTAGTGAGTAAACATTGCATAGCATGAGACCCCACCGGCGTCAAAATATCGAGGGCCATTGTCTCATTTCAATGAATTCGCCCTTGTAGCCAGAACAAGACATGTAGGCCAAAACCCTTTGACCATCGGGTTCATTTCATCTAACTGCCCCGAATTAAGGAGGCACAGTTGCAGTGACTATTTTGCTACGCAGTGGTCTCAGGTAAATCTGCAGATGCCTGATCGGACAATCTGTGTTGAGGGTACCGATGTACTGTGTCGAGCCTCGTGAACAGTAACGCCACAAAATATGCGAGCTGCGTGAATAAACGACCCGTTCGTCCATTTAACACGCTTCTACCACTAAGCACACATTTGTTTTAAAATCTGCGTGCAAAATGTCGACGTAAGCCTTGACAAGACAGACAAGCAAAATGCGAGTCCATCTTGCTTTGGTTTAGAGGAGGAAAAAACCCAAGTACGGTACAGTAGTGGGGATATTTCACTCCTGTCAAACTCCCCGACAATGTCGCCGAAAATGCCTCCCACCCCAAGAAGGAAAACAATCTCTCTGGTTAATTAAAGTGGGAATTTTTTGACCGGGCACATGCATCTGTGGTCAGTGTTTTGCACAGCAGTAGTTCTATTTCCTCACACTGTTACTAGGAATAAAAGTAGCTAGTTAGCTTGCTAGCTGTGCTAACTGGACGAGGTACGCTTTTAATGTGCAATAGTTTCCAATACTGTAAAAAAGGTATCGAGCAGCTGTTACCAAAGACACCGACACAAACTGGATTTCACGTATTTGTGCTGTTTCAACTGTTCCTTTACATACAACGCAGGTCTGTGGCCATGTATTTGATGCGGATAGGAGGAGGAGGAGGCGGCGGGGGCATACCACCTCACCGTGAAACAGTTGCCATTTATTTTACACGGCGATTTGAAACAGAACTGAGGAAATATCTGGCAGCACCCTAACCGTGACAACACTGTATGCTTTCTAACAATGGTAAGCAATGAGATGTGGACGAGGGAAAAACATGAAAAGGACAAGCCAGCAGGCGGACATCATGTCCAAACAGCGATTAGAACAATTTTCGGTGTGAGTGACTGAGAGGCTGACAAAACAGCGACTTCTTTTTCACGTAAAAAACATAGAACCACACGTTCTCTGTCATGACCACTCCCTTAACGTCTGAACATACCTCCGGTATCCTGCTCAAGTACCGAAGGGGGCTCTCATCACTGGCGCCGTCCACCTTTTTAACTTATTGACACATCATAACAGTTCTGCACTGGCTGTACGAAAGCAAGCGAGATCAAGTCGATTCAAAGAACACCAACAGAAACAGGAAGTGGTGTTATTTATCATTAAAATAAAACTTCACATATTTCAGCAAAAATATATCAATCTTTACTCCAGGTACTTGAAAAAGTCTCGAAAACATGCCCTGGACAGGATGGACAGGACAGCAGATCAAGGACCAGGGTTGTAAAATTTTTCTGGAAGAATCTGCCAAAAGTCTGGGATAATGTTGTAATAGTTCATATAAAATAATTACTTTGAATTAATTATGGAAAGGCTGTATGAGTGACGAAGATGAATCTGCTACAGACATGACGTATGAATATAAAATACACTGTTCTCAGTCATTTTTTTTTACACTGCAACAATTCTGCAACAACATTAGCTTGATTGGGGAAAATGTATGTAAATGACATTTAACAGCGCATTAGGGAGTAACAAGCCCCACAAGTGAGCACAAGGCCCCACTAATTAGCTTTTAATTTATACACACACACACACACAGAGAGAGAGAGAGAGAGAGAGAGAGTATATTGCCAAATACTTTCTTGTCATAGGAATTATTAACTTCTTCAGTTTTACTTGTGACCCATTAATAAACAAAAACTTTCCATTTTGCCCTAGGACTTAACAACATCCATCTTTCTCTAAAATATTTAAACACTATCCTCCCCTTGTCTTGCGAACAGCAATTTTATGTTATAAAAATATAAAACACTACCGTCAATTGAAAGCTTTTATTTCATAACACAAACCGGATGTCAACCTTGTTATTCTCTAGAACTTTATTGTGGTACAGAAACGCAGGACTTAACCAGATGATGAATGCTACTGTCGGCGAAGGCGACACATTAAACTGCTTCAACCCACCATAATAACACCGTTATGGGTTCAATCTGGGGAAAACACACACTTTTTCAGTCACTCAATGTAACAGAAATCACTTTCGTTTTCCTCGAGGTGGGAGAAAATTCATATCTCATCTATTCCCTCCCCTCCCCCGGTTTCCGAAGTGCTCATTCACAGACTGGCCTGTACTCGCCAACACCATCTTTCACTTAACTTTATATCTTTGAGCTCAGCCTGGGTGTCAAAGGTCACCGAAAAGCTGCGGTTGCACGTAAAAACACCGATAACTACGTACTTACCGCTGTTCCAATCAATATCGTCCGAGTACCTACTTGTTATAAGCTTCCTGGGCGTTTGCGCGTGATAACTGATTCAAAAATGTTCTATTGATATATACCAGCGGGGTTAAAGATACGTACCTGTCAAAAGCACCACTTGACACGGCTAGTCAGCTGCATGATTCTTCTTTAACAGCTTTAGCCGAGAAACTATCAACAGTTTTACAGAATTCTGTACGGACCGAAAAGAGCCACCCCGTCATGCAATTCCGTACGTGAATGGACACCGTTTTTGATTGACGGGTTGTCTTCGCCAATTAGAATCGTTGTTATATTGTAGCGTTTAGAGACTGTGCAAAGTCCTCAAGATTAATATGGATAAAATTACTCATAAACAACGCAAAATATCGTTAATATCGTCACAATGAGTTTCTGTAGTATTCATAAGAGGAAGCGCACTGCTCTGTGGTGTTTTATTCTTCATTTTGTGGAAATGTAGAGAAAACATGTAGATACGTTGTGTGTGTGTGGCAAAGATAATAAAGGATGACTGATGTTACAGTAACGGGACAAATTAGAGAGAGAAAACCCCTCAACCTTTAACCTTCCAAACACACACGCACATGCACACACACACACACACACACACACACACACACACACACAAGCACACACGCACATACACAAACACACACAGAGTCAGGGGTTATTATTGTAATAAACAAAGTTGTGACATGTCAGAAAACCAAAAATGAGACACTGTCACACAAGTTAAGATCAGAAACCCTATTTTACAACCATAGCTGGACTGGCCATCGGGCATACCGGGCATCTGCCTGGTGGGCTGATGGTGATTTTTCGTTTTTAATGGGCCGACTTTTTTTGTTTGTTTGTTTTTTTGTAACGGTATAAACAATGAAAGGTGGTGGATTGGCCAAATGGTCATGATCGACTCTGGGCTGGACCAATTACAACCGATGAGGTCGAACTTTAAAGTTTCGTATTTAGGTGTAAAGGAACGTCATTTGTCCCGAACTTCAGCAAAAAATGTAAAAAAGGCACAAAGCTGGAGTTATTCTGTGACTTTACGCTGCATAGCTGCCTCTTCTTCTCTCATTCTCTCCCCCTCCAGCTCCTGTTGCTACTTCAATCATGAAACTGATCAATGATCAGCTGATCGGCTTTGCTGTCCTAAGTCCCGTCTCGTTTATTTATCCCCCACTTTGCGCCAGAAAGACGAAACCAGCGGATGTCACGCTAAACAACAGCAACACGTTTAAGCTTGGTAAGCTGTTGTTATAATTTATTTGATATTACTTTCTAGTATCAGCTGATGTTTGCTGGAGCCACAGCCATATACTTTTCTTTCTTATTCTCATTTAAAATGTCTAGGTTTTAATAAATACAACTGAATCTTACAATCAAAGTGGTCATCTGATGTAAAATATATAAAAATTCATTATTGTATATAGTAAATATTAAGTCTAATATATGCCCTAATAAGCTATAGTACCATGTGTGCAGTCTGCAATTCTGTTGCAGAAAGATATTGAATCTATTTAATTACTGTAGAA